ATGAAAATGCTAAAAAAACAAGAGTTATAACTAAAGATGATAGTATCAGTGTTGTCGGAAAGAATTCTCAGTGAATGGGCTAATAAGAAATATTCCCAGGGTAGCGTTTCCACAGTATAATTTGAAGTATTTATCGAATATCAGTGTATTAGTTTTAGTAACTGTTATATAACAGAATAGGAAATTAAAGTTGTCATAAATTATTAAGAATAGCTGAATATTCTCTAAATTGGGTTGATGATACAAAGGAAATTACAATAACAAAGGGAAAATGTTTGACTCAAACCATCTACCTAATTTTAGTGACATCTGCTTAGCATTTTTCACTGAATATTTATTTTAGAAATATTTCTTAATTCTATGTATAGTATTATGCTTATTTTTTAAGTATATTCAAATTTTATCTTATTATTTTTTAAATTTTATTTAGTTATTTTTCAAGTACAGTTTTTTGTCTATTTTTCCCATCCCAGCCTCCCCTGCCCCTTGCTCCCCACCTCCCTCCCATTTCCACCCCCCTTAGTTCTCGTCCCTGTGTCCTTCCTATTTGTTCCTCCAGTATTATGCTTATTGATTCTAGAGAGAGGGGAAGAGAGGGAGATAAGGAGAGAGAGAGAGACACTGATGTGAGAGAGAAACATTGGTTGGTTGCCTCTCGCATGCACACTTGCAACCCAGGTATGATCACTGCCGGTAATCAAACCTGAGACCTTTTGATTGATGGGACTGTGCTCCAACCAACTGAGCCACACCTGTGAGGGTGGAGCATTCTTGAATAATGTTATTGATTTTAATTAATTGATTTTTTTGTCTTTTTTATTTATGTACTTTATACAAAACATAATTAAAAAGTTCTTAGATCATTGAGGATAATCTAGTTTCTTATGTTTCTTTTTATGGTCATTGTTTTAAATTCTTTAATCCCTTATACACATGGTCTTTCTGGTCAGCTGGCATTCTGTATTGATCTCGCCTTCCTGTTGCCTGTCACATCTATATGCTCCTTTGCAGAGCTACTATCAGGCCTTTCAGGAACCTATCCAGGTGATGGCAACAGCTTCCTGTCTTCTGTGTCTTATCCAGCAACAAGTCAGTGTCTCAGCTTCTCATTTCTGTTTTACCCAGTCAACTCTTTTCTACATTTTGCTGTCTATTATTATTATTTTTGCATCTCATTTTTCACTGTATTATTCCCCTGCTCAAATTTTGCTGCTGGCATTAAAAGCCTTCTGTCTTTTGTCCCCAATTCAACCTCCCGAGTAAACTTCTCACTACCGTATTACTTTTCTTTTAAAGAAAACAATTAACTTACCATAATGTGCTTCAGCTTCCCTCAGCAGTGCTTTTGTTTGCATTGTTTTTAAATCCATCATAATCTCTTTTGTCTTCAGTCTGTTAAGAACTCATTTTTATAGCACTGATCACATTCTACCTTTTAAAATACAGATTGTTATACTTTTTTGTAGCTTGATTCTAGATTTTAAGCTCTGTGAGTAATGACTCTGTTCCATATGAATATAAGTATTTACCATAGACCATCTACATTGTAAGAATTAAAGTGTTAATTGAATTACAAAGCTTACTTAAGTGTATAATCATAAAATGTAATAAAACCAAAAAGTTTTATTGACTTTGGAAAGCAGTCTTGAAATTACTATGTTTACTAAAGTGCTACTAAGCACCTATTTTCTTAATACTTTTAGGTGTTCACTTTTGAGTCTAATCTCTGTTAAATGAAGAGTTTGATTTTTAATGTCCAAAGAACTGAGATTTTGCTTTCATTTTATTTGGGGTATTAAAAAATAGGTCACATACCTAAGAATTGACTTACATTGAGTGAGAAGTACAGAATTATTATGAAAACCATTTTTTAAAAAAGCATAATTATAAATTAACTTTCATAATAGGTTGACAGTTGTTGGGTACTAGTTGTTAGAATAATAACCTCCTTAGATTAGCAGACCAAATAAAAGAGAAAAAGAACAGTTTCATATGTTGTTGAGCTAATCTTTGGTTAGCTTTTAAAATGATATTTCTTATTTCTATACTTTTGAAAAATTAATTCAGTTAACTAATAGAAATTGATATCTGTCTCTGTGATTTGTGACATACGGCTAGAAAAACATAATTTTAAGAAGAATCCCACATTGTTTACTGTTACCTCCATTGCTTTTGCATTTAATGAAGTAAAGTGAAAAATTTATACATAGTGGTGAAAGTCATTATTAGGAAAAAAATGTACCTTTTCATAGAACAAATATTTAACAAAAATGTTCCCTCATCCTCTCATTTAAGCTGAAGTCAGTAATTTCAATCTTTTTAAGAAAACCGAACTTATAAGTATGATTTTGATTCATATATATCATAGTATTTAACATTAAAAAGCTGTGAGAAGTTGTCTGATAGATGTGCCTTTTCTTTATTGTAAATTACTGGGTACACTTGTGTGTACCTGAAAGATCATCACAGGTGGGCAAAATGTTTGTTAATTTTCTGTTTTAATGTCAAGTGTATAAATAACAACAATTTAGAGGGCCGCATTATAATTTTGCCATTTATTTCTTATTTTGTTAGATTTCTTATTACAGAGAATAAGAGGGCTTGAAAGCAGTTTGGGCAAACATATTAGAAAACTTTAAAAAAATTTTTTTCTCACCCAGGGACATTTTTTTATTGCTTTTAGAGAGAGAGAAAGGGAGAGAGGAAGTGAGAGAGAGGAACATAGATGAGAGAGAGAAGCATCTATTAGTTGCCTCCTGTACATGCCTAGACCAAGCAAGGATCGAACCTGCAACCTAGGTATGTGCCATGACTGGGAATCGAACCTGCAGCATTTTGGTGTATGGGGTGAAGCTCCAACCAACTGAGCCATACCAGTCAGGGCTAGAAAAATGGTTTTTTTTTAGCTGAGTTCTTTGACATGCATATAGACTTGAAAATTTAAAATATTTAAAACACAAAGGGTTTTCTCTGAATAAGAAAACTCTAAAAATAGTCTAATTTTTATTAAGATTATAAAACTATATATTGACACTTTAATTTGTATTTGGAAGTCTACATATAAAATGTTTAATATTTTTGAAATTAATATATTAGCAGATATTCTATGCCAAATATATTTATCAAATGAACATTTTCTCAATATCTTTTGTGAATTCTTAATTTTTCTCAAAGGTTTAAAAAAATAAGTCTTATGCAACATTTTGTCAAATTGAAGCATTTCTTTAAATCTGGAAAAGTAGAAAAGAAGGTAATTTTGGCTTTGTTGAGATTTGACTTGTTAGTATTACTATCAGAAGTAAATCACTATTAAATTTGTTATGTAATCTCAGGGAATTCAAACTATTGCATTGTGCTCCTTTCCCCAAGAATTAGGGAATTTGGTAAACTCAGCTGGATGAATCTCATTTAGTTACATTAAAGTGATATCTTATTGAGTTGCTTGATATGAAATGTAATTAAAATGAGTTGCTACTTGATTTAGTGAATATAGTGTTAAAAATAGAATAAAAAATTGTCCAGTTAACCAATTATAAGGTGACAAGTATTTTTCTATTAAGTAATTTATTGCTGTTTTTTGATATAGTTATACTTAGCACTCATGGATAGATTATTAGATTATTACATTTGGAAAATATTTGTTTGATAAGAATTCCCAAACCTGATATATATAGTTTGGATTAGTAATTTCATATTTTTTCCAGCATGATTTGAGGATTGGAAGCAAAATGCTTAAAGTTAAATTAAGTGATGTAGAGTAAAACAAAATGACAAGATTTATTGCCACTTCAATGATTTTCAGAGTGAAAATAGAACTACTGTGTTTTGAAACATTTGGGAGCTTTATGATAGGGTAGAAACATTGTGTAAATTGTATTACTCTAAACTTGCTATGTATGTAAAATTAGAAATAATTGGCTTTGTTAAGCTTTTCTACACTAATATACTTTTTCTACCATGTATTTAGATTTTAATAGTTAACTTCTATTCAAAAGGGCCAGCTTGAATAAAGTTAATGTACTCTTTTGCCAGCAGATTGTATTAATTTCAGGCATTTGGCTTAGACGGAAGTGAGAAAGGAAGAAAGGGCTGGCGCTTTAGTTTCCTCCCTTCTCTCTATTGTCAGTCATTTGTATAGCATAGGCATAATGCTCTTGTTCGTAGAAAGTCAGTCTCTTTCTCACAATAAACTTGAATTTCAAAGTATTTCTGTCTTGGTGTACATATGCAGATTGTTTGCTTTTGAAAAACTATCCAGTTAACGAATAGAAATTGATATCTATCTCTGTGATTTGTGACATATGGGTAGAAAAACAATTATAAGAAGAACCCCACATTGTTTACTGTTACCTCTATTGCTTTTACATTTAAAAATTTCATTCTAACATATAACAATAAATTTTAACATTCATAGGGTTTTTGAAATCCTGAGAAACCCTACAGTTTCTACATTAAAAGAAGGATAAGGTTTTGTACGTGGTTCATTAATTTTGGTGCATCAAGTAATATAGCAAGTTGACAGTAACAGAAAACAAATTAGTGGTACAGAAAATCCTGGATTGTTTTGATTGTTTGGAGCCAGAATTTTGGTTCTTATGTTAAAATGCTATTCCAGTTGTCATTATATAAATGTATCTCTAGTTTGTGGCTTAGAAACAATATACTTTATTTAAAAAAAAGGATACCTGTGTCAGTTACATTTTTAAGTTATACACTGTTTTAAGGCTATGTATTTATTATTTAGAAAACATGACTTACATGAATATCTTCTGATGGACATGATATTGACAAAATATACACAATATTACTTTAACAAACTGCCATGCAACAAGTACATTAAGTTATGAAGAAATTGAATATATATCACCTAATCTAATCTTGTCATTTACATTGAAAATTTACAACATAACCAATACTTAAAATATTCTTTTCTTATATTTGGCAGTAATTTCACTTTTTACAATTTAAATTTAAAACTTCTGAATGTGGATTTGGTGAAATTTACACTTCTCCCTAGTCGGTGACAACCTGAGGTACTAAACATTTCTCTCTTATCTCACTATCTTCAAAGGAAATTTTTTTGTTTCTTTTAGGGTCTATCCAAGAGTTGTGAATTACAGCATTATTAGGCATGGGATCAGCTTCTACTATGGAAACAACTCGCTTTTTCATTTTACTTTTCAAGACTTTTTGAAATTTTTGTCTAGTGAATGCATATAAAAGAGGGTGAAATATAGTTGTTCCATAAGCCATGACTAGAAAACACAACCTTAATTTTACTAAAAGGTCACTTGGGCCTAAACATAAAATGGTGGTATTTAAAACAGAAATTGGTGTCCAGCAGAGAAGAAATGTAGAAATAATTAATAAAGACATTCTGAAGACTCTTTTTTGCCTTTCTCGCCGTTCGCGGTGTCGTTTCACAGCTCGCCGGAGGGCTATTATTACAGAGACTGAAGTCCTTACACCAAAGACTACATTTTTCCCACCACTACTTTGTGACATGTCTGTAGTCTCATGTTGTGTAGTTAGAGAAATTGTCTTTTTTTTTCTTGCTTTCTTCTTCTGTCCTGTTGAAAATCTGGTACCTATTCGAATGTTAAGAGCCTGCAGTATTTTGGTGTATGTGATTAACATTACTATGACAGTGAAAAAGAATATTGGAATCTGTACAAGCAGGTGGTAATACATTCCCAGTTCGGTGTAGTATTCATTTGTGCTGACACACAAAAGGGTCTTGTTTGCCCATGTATTTCCACTTTGAAGACTGAAAAAATTTACCTCAATAAAGGGAATCAGGAAAGAGAAAAATGAAAACATCCAAATGGATATCATTAGCATTACAGCTCTGCCCATTGTCAAAATTCGGTTTGCAGGTTTTACAGAGATGTCATATCTGTCCAAAGTGATAGCAAAAACGTTGATTGCTGTTGAGACACTTGCAAAAGATACACAGGCCTCATGGAAACAGCAGACGAGAGTAGTGTTACTTTCCAGTGAAAGTAGAAGGATAACTATAGTTAGAGGAATACATCCCACACAAATTATTACATCAAGTACATGAAGATTCATTGTAATAATGTTACTGACAGAGTTGATTAAGTTGGATTTCATGCAGTAAAGTACCAGTACAGTGAGGTTGCTGCCAAGTCCCAGCACAATTTCTAACATAAGAAATCCAGTGAGAGATGCTTGAAAGCTTAATGGGTATAACAGTGGTTGGTACATATTGGTATTGATGTCATCAATGTCATCTCGAACTGTAATGTTAGATTCAGACTGCATGATGATTTCCAGAAGGGGAGAAAAACACATTCTTTTGGAGCAGTTGGATTTTTTCCCTAGAAAATGAAATAGAATAAACTATTTGATATTTGGCATTTTAAATGATGTATAGAACATGTGTTCTTTGTAAAAAAAAACCTTCTTTACTGTGTACTTAGTTTAATTTTTAAGTTTGCAAACTATTAATGAAAACAGAATTAGGAAACATTAAGATTGCATTACTTTGATAGAAAAGGAAATTGGGTTCTACCTTTGAAGAAATAACTGTGTGGGGATTACTCCTGTAGTTCAAGGATATTTCATGTACTAAAAACATTTTACTCATTTGGGTTTTTCAAACTTATTTGTTAGACACAGTGTACTTTTGTATAATAAAACTACCTAGAATGGAAAACTAATCTTAGCCCAATATTTTAATATTTAATTTAAAAATATTTCGAGTAGGTGGCAAATAAACATTCTTTTAATTTGTTCTAGCATAATTAGTGTAAGTCTGATTATCCCCATGAGATTTCAGACGAACGGAACAGTGTTCATTTAATATGATAAATGGCATAGAGCACTTGCTTGTTTAAACTATTTTGTTCATGTTCTTGATTGAAATTCATATTCACATGTCAACAGTGTGACTAGGGACTTCTTTTCCCACAGAAGGAGACAAAGGATGAATATTTCACATTTCATAGTTAAACTGTTCACTGAACTTTAAAGTGGGCAAACTTCTAAAAATTGGAAGAGAAGGGACATATGTGAAAGTAAAACAGCACAAAGCTTGGAACAGTAATCACTCCTATGAATGATTTATTTTGTGACCACACCCTCTTGTATCTTGTGAAAGAAAATTAAAATTTAATACCTTATTAATAAATAGCCCCTTTCAAAGTGGTTTAAAAGACTATATCCACTGATTTTGTTTAAGTAAAAAAGTAGAATTTTAGGGAAAAAGTATCTGAAGACCATTTTCTGAAGAATCTTTTGAAGTTAAACATTTCTTCTGGAACCTTTTATATAAATTACCCTGAATATAATTTTGAGGAAACTTAAAAAAAAAACAAAAAAACTGTTCCTAAGTCATGCAAATTTACATATTAATATGTAAAGGTGTAGAGTAATTTATGAAAATGTCTGATTTTCTGGGCTAAAATGTCAGTAACCAGTAGTATATTCAGTTAAAATATAAAATTCTATAACCAACTATATTTCACATTTCAAGTATAGCATTTTGATTGCAAAATCATAATCAAACATAAATGATAAAAGCTCATAATTTTGGTAACATGTTAACCTTTCACTTAGTGTATAAGTTTTAGGATATAGTTTTATTATGCCTACTATTTTAGCGATAATATTTCAGAAGTACAAACAATCACAATATTAATTTCTTTTGAGCTTGGTATAAAGTATTATTAAGGCACATACTTAAGTAAAGGAAATCCTATAAAGTTGAAAAATTTTAAGTGTGCCAAATTTTTTGAACTGACAGAGTAAATATCAGTTCTTTGTCATATCAGTTAAATTTATAAGTAAATAAAGCAGAAATGTGAAGTTAGGTGAGAATTAAGACAAATGCATCTCTTCTAGAACAAGATTCTTTTCTTTTGTAAATGTTAAACAGTTTGGTGGAGTGCATGCATTTTCTGACCTACCTGTTTGCTGTTGCCTTATGGGCCTTTTGGCTCCATATAGCAGTTTTTCACAAATTGAAACATGATGTCATTGAGTGATTTTGACATGAACTTTACCTGACAACAGTGAAGTAGCTGTGTTTTATTTCATGTCTTGTGGGAATTGTTTCATTTTTCTCTCCAGTACTTCAGCTGCATGAATTGTGAGATTTAGTTGGCTGATGGATTTCTAAAGACCAGTACAAAATATGTTTGTTTGTTTCATCTTAAAATGTCACGACCAAGAGAAACTTCGTCAGATGAAAAGAATTATGTTTCCCTTTGTGGGAATATATGATAGTGTCTCTCTGTTTTCCAGAACATGTGAAAACAAAAAAGGAAATACAAGGTTTCTAGCTCCTAAAATGTATTCAGACATCCTTTTGTTACAAACTGTCTCATAGCAGTCTTGATTATTTTGGAATTATTTCTTGATCACATAACTTGCTTCATATTACAAATCCAGTTTATGTTTTTCGATAAGAACCATCTGTTGTTCAATCTGGTTTGTTTTCATTAGAAGAAGATAGATAATTGGCCATAAAACTCCAATGCAGAAATTCTTTAGGAATATCAATTAATACAAATATCTGTATATTTAGTGCAGAAAATACTTGCTAAAGCTTCATTTAGCTTGCTGGTAACGTATGGCATTCTTACTGTGGCAATCCATGTTCATTGTTTCTTTAAGAATTAGTAGCTCCACAATTCTGGTGTGTTAAAGTATACTCTCCCTTTTTAAAAATGCTCACCATTTTGTCTTCAGGATTTTATAATTACATTGTTTTTCTTTTTGTGGCTGTTTTATACAGCATCTTTGTAAGATGATTACTGTCGATGTGCTATATTCCAGCAGTAATGTAGACCTATATTCCCCAGTTTTAACTCCTTAGTATCTTAAAATCATGTGTTACAAGAATATCCTGCAGTTAATGATTCAGACAGCTAGGGAGAGAGATGCTCCGTCAGATGCATTCTTCATATTTTCAGTTGTAAGTACTGAATTAGCTGCTGTGGGCCCTTGTGAAAAAGGAAAAAAATAGTTAAGAAATAGGGTTTCTAACATTTCCAATTAATTGAAAGTTAGCTTTGTTTATTTAACACTGTATATAGTATTTTATCAGAGTAAGCAAACTTATTATAGACACAGCTTATACATAAAATCTAAGTTTTTTTTTAAGAAAATAAAATACTTTATTTTCCTAGTAAGAATTGTAAATATTACGTTATTTAATAACAGAATTAACATTGCAAATATAACCATTAAAGGAAACTGTTCTTCTTTTAAATTGATTTCTGCATTTTTGAAGCTAACCTGTATTTTCAGAGTTTATGATCAATTAGCTTATACTAAACATACTGTCATTCCCCCATGTCTTTATCATAAATTTGACAATATTTCCTTTTGTAAAATGTTATATCTTGTTACACCATTAGCACATAGTTTGAATTTCAATCGATTACAACAGATTTCATGATATTATCAACTTGCACTGAAGAACTGTTTATATAATTAAAATATAAAAGATAATGCAAAATGTTACTGCAAATTAAATAATTTTCAATGGCCATTCCCAGTAATAAACTTAACCAAAAGCTGAGTAATACATAATAGCAAAATAATAAACCTGGTTCTTTTAAGAAAAATAAGCATTTTTGAACACCTGAGAAATAAGTGTATTGCTGATATTAAAAATACTTAGTATAACTGAAGTGACTTAAAAACTGATGTCTTCATAGTGAGTTAAAGAATATTTCTTGTATTTAACATAGCACCCTTAAATTACGTGCAAAGTACATTGTCTTAAAAAATAGATCTAAAAAATACATGTTTATTAAATAAAATAAACTCCTAAAATTCAGGTTGAAATTTTTTAAAGTAATCTTACCCCACTATTCCGGTTCAAAAGCAGCTGCATACTATAATAAGGAATCTTACCTCTCTCTGCTAAGGATTTGATAAATTCTTGATGTAGTTGAAGTATTTCCAGTTTTGATTGATTCATTTTGTTCACTTGTTAGCAGAGGACTTGGGGAAGAGGGTCATAAACATCTCTTCGAAAAGACTGTAATGAAAATAGGTCTGTACGGTGCCATTGTTTCAGCAGTACTGCTAATGTATGGAACATGTAGTGCTGCTTAGAGGCTGCGGCAGTCTCTCACTCTTCCTAGTGTGGAATCAATAAGCCTCTGGAAATACATAATGAAAGTAATTTGACATACTGAAGGCTTCTTGTCTCCAGAGACAACATTTAGATTCTGTCTTTCTCAAAAGGAACGGCACTGCTTGTCAGAGGAAAGCCTGTTCTGGGCAGCTTTTGCAGAATGACAGCCTACCTTGTTGCTGCTCTCCACTGCAGGGAGATGCAGTGCATTCACTAATTTTGATTGGTCAGTTTTATTGGGCTTCAACTGTGCTTCATATGTATAGCAGGGTTTTTTACCCCAATGTTTTTACATAAGGATGCTTTTTTGAAAGGCTATATTTATAAGGGGTTTTATATTGCTCTTAAATAGAATATGAGTAAATTAGTCCTTTAAAAATGTCAATTCTATTCTGGTTTGTTGTTCATTTATGCAAAATATTGAAAAATACAGGGAGGTGGGGGTCAAGAAAGAATTCACATAGTAAGAATATATTTTCTTTTTAAAGCCTGGATAATTGTACTTGAGAATATTTTGGTTATATGTATGTTTTTGGTTGAGATTCTTTGTTGTACAAATGGAAGCCACTGCATCTTTACTGTGAACCACATTGAATTTCAAGTAGTGTGTTTGTATTCAAATCACCTCCTCTGTGTGTTCCAAATTGTGAACATTTCAAGGTGTTCGGTATTTTTTTTAAATTCCATTTTTATTAGTATACTCTCAGTGTATAAAGATTTAATCATGTGCATTACTTTTGAGACTACTATTGCCTTCTCCTTTGGTAACCCATTTATTCAGTAGATATATACTGATCTTGCCATAATATTTTATTTAAACTGGCTATTTCTATTTCTAAGCTGGGAAATATTAGTGGATTGCTATGTCCTAAGTATTATATGTAGCTATATGCTAATATTATTGGGTAAATATGTTGGAAAAGGAAATTATTCATAAGTCTTTGTAGATTATAAAACTAAATTATTTTGAGATAGATGTGCTCTCAAAAGAGTAAAAGCAATGGATGGTATAATATGTAATTAACTTAAAATATTACTTTAACTTAGATTTCTGTTAACTTTGGTTATCTATAATTTTCTATTCTCAATAATTGAGTATATAAAGTAGCTATATTCTATCTATTGACAAAATAGAGGACAAAATGCAAATGATTGAATTATTAGAATATTGATTATCGCCCTATTTTCATTATTTTAGGAATACTAGTGACCTTCATTTATTAAAATGTATGCTAAATTTTAAATTTTAATTGGAATTCTTCTTTTATATTTTTGAAAATCAGCATACATTTTTATAATCTGCTGGTAGTATTCAAGCTTTATAGGGGGTTGGCTGAGTGGTATATGAGTTTTGAATTGAATTTCTGTAGAGGCTGAGAATAATGTGGTAGAAAATTTTGTTAATTTCTAAAATTTTCTGCAGAGCTTTGGGTGGTGAGGCTTTGGTAATGCTAAAAATTTAAAATGTTGTTACTTTTCATACATTTTGAAAGCTGGAGAAAAGAGTCTTGTTAGAATGCCATCCATGTTGAAAGATAGTGTGTGCATGTGCACAAACATATTAATTGAAGCCTGAAATGAAAACCAGAGAAAAAGTGTTAGTGTCAGTTTACACTTGTGAGGATTCATGGGGTGAAATACATATATTGCTTTTCTGCCAGAGTTCAAGTATTTGCTTTATATTTATAATTAAAATAGCCACATGAAATAGAGGACACCAAGACACAGAGATATTTAATGACTTGAAAAAGTCTTGGTAAGGTAGTAGTAAAGCCAGTGTTAGATCTCAGCAAACTCCCTTTTACCTGTAGTGGGCCCTCTCTGTTTAGAAAATTCTGAAGATATTTGGCACTTAGTTTTGTATGATCTGGGTTTAGATATTACCCATTAGTCACATGACTTTTGGAAAATCAGACATTTTCTGGGTCACAGAGCTTTGATTCTTTTGTTGTTGTCAAAGTGTATTTCTGTGCTTTAACTCTCTGTGAGGCATTATTTCTAAGTTAAAAATTGAGACTATATTGAAAAAACATTCTGGGCTCTCTGTAAGAAATAATGGCAGGAAAAAAGGTGAGGTCTGGATATTGTTCTTTATTCCCTGTGGTTAAGAATACACAATATATTACAAATAACATCTTTTTATTGCATACAGTATTTAGTATAGTTTTCTTTTTAAACACCACAGATTGGCTTGGTGATTACATGGTTCTCTGATTTCTTAGCAGGATAATCCTAACTTCCTTTTTCTTTAACAAAGAGGAAAATGTCTATACCTCAGCATTGAAAATCAGATGGTATTATTTCCTGAAACAAACAGTATTAAACTACATATGTCAGAATTCTAAAAAATTCTTATTTCCATAATAACAGATTCTGATACTTCTGCATTTAATGTATTTTATATTCATGTAGGATACCAATTTTGAAAAATGCTACAATTGGTGATTTAAAACCAAATTTTGTTATAAAATATCTTTTTTAAAATTATATTTTATTGATTATGCTTTTACAATTGTTCCATTTTTTTTCTCCCCTTTATCTCCCTCCTCCCTGCACCTTCCCTCCCACCCACATTCCCCCACTTAGTTCATGTCCTTGGGCCATACATATAAGTTCTTAGGCTTCTCCACTTCCTATACTGTTCTTAACCTTACCCCTGTGTATTTTGCATCTACCAATTATGCTTATTATTTCCTTTACCTTTTCCTCCATTTTCCCCCCTCCTCCTTCCAATTGATACCCTCGATGTGATCTCTATTTCTGTGATTGTGTTTCTGTTCTAGTTTGCTTTTGTTTTTTAGGTTCAGTTGTTGATAGTTGTGAGTTTGTTGTCATTTTACTGTTCATATTTTTGATCATCTTGTTTCTCTAAGATAAGTCCCTTTAACGTTTCATATAATTAGGGCTTGGTGATGATGAACTCCTTTAGCTTTACCTTACCTGGGAAGCAGTTTATCTGCCCTTGCATACTAAATTATAGCTTTACTGGATAGAACAATCTTGGATGTAGGTCCTTGTCTTTCATGACTTGGAATACTTCTTTCCAGCCCCTTCTTGCCTGTAAGGTCTCTTTTGAGAAACATCTACAAAGGAGTTCTCATCAGCTGACAGTCTGATGGGAACTCCTTTGTAGATGACTGTCCCCTTATCTGTTGCTGCTTCTAGGATTCTCTCCTTCATTTTAATCTTGGCTAATGTAATGATGATGTGCCTTGGTATGTTCCTCCTTGGGTCCAA